CATCCCAGCACTCGGGAGGCAGAGGCAGGAGGAACCTTGCACGTTTGAAAGCACAGTTTCCATCATTTTCTAATAATGTAATCTAATTATAATGCCATTGGTGGATTAATCCACTTGATGAAATTAAAGCCCTCATTATCCAATCGCCTTCTTGAATGCCCCATATCTGAACACTTGAGACTTTTGGGGGACATTTTAGATCTAAACCATAATACTCCCCCGAGTATGCACTCACTTTCTTTCTCCCTTCTTTTCTTCGATACTGGCGATTAAACCCTGGGGTCCTCTGCCACTGATCTCTAGTCCAGTCCCCACCCTTTAAAGTTTTTTGTTGAGAGAGGGTCTTGCGAAGTTTCCCAGGCTGTACTCCAACTTGTGGTCCTCCTTCCTCAGCCTCCTGGAAGGCTGGGACTGCAGATGTGCACTGCCACAGCGGGCTTCTCCGACTGTATAGCTTCAGTCCCTTCATCTCCCATGATGTGATCTTGTTAAGCTCTCTGGGAAGCTGCTCTTGTTTAGCTGTGGCTGCATTAGCAAGTGGTTAGACTTATCACCACGCTTGAGTCAGGCTTCATAATGGACCCCACTTTTTTTTGGCTGTTTCCATATTTTTAAAGCATTTTTTTTTCAGTTTTACTCTCAACACTTCTGTTTCTCCCTTTTCAAACTGCTGCTTGAGATTATAGGCTAGTGTGGCAGGCGTCTAATTTGCTGTCTTCTGATCACCAGCTCATTGTCAATGTGTGGGGAAAGAACCCAGTTTACACCTATAGGGGGGCCCAGCAAATATGAGCTCATTTTTACAGGAACTGGGGGTATCCTGGTAGAGGAGAAAATTCAGGGTAGGGATCTTCCGTAATGGCCATGTTCTTTCCAGTTTTGTGCTGGCCAAGGACAGAACATTTGGAGCAAAAGAGTGAAATCCTTTCAGTGGGACCTGCCTGCTCCCTGGAGTTCACCCGGACCCTTTGCTGTTATTCTGGGATCAGAGGAGCCAGGTTCTGCGGGAGAAACTGGTGCTGAGACCACTCTGCTCCTGCCGCTGCCTTCCTGGATCCTGGACCCTGCAGATTCCGTGTCCTGTTGGGATCTGTGCAGATGGGGCGGGGAGATTCCTGGTTTAGATTAGCAGGAGGATTTATCACACCAGAGGTCAGTGTTTACCTTGGCCTTGGCTCGGTGAGTCCTTCCTCTCCTTCCTCCCCTGCTCAGCGGCTCTCTGCTAACTTAGCAGAACCGCAGCTCTGCTTTCTCTCGGGAAAGGGACACCGAGAGGATGTCTTATCCAATAGACCTGGAAACATCACGGCCGAGAGCCTGGACCCTGCACGGAGAAATACGACTTCTGCTTTTGTCCCATTTCTAGGATACTTCCTCTCTCACAGAAAGAAGAGGATGGGATTAGGGAGGTCACCTCCTCTCTGCCTCTTCTGTAAAGACGACATGATGGGAATCGCTGCCCTGCACACAGAAGAGTGTCATGAGAGGTCGAGGACATAAGGACTGAGACAGCACTTGGCCCACGGTGACCGTTATTTGTCCAACTTCTGTCTCAGCGAGGTTCTGGGAGTTATGTGATTGCCAAAGGTCACCAAGGAAGCAAGGAAGGGGCCAGCACCAAAACCAGAGGCTCATCCCCAGCTTTTTTTTTTTTTTTTTTTTGGACAAAGGGTCTCAGTCATTAAGTTGCTTGGGCTGGGCTCAAATTTGGGCTCTTCCTGAGTCAGCTGTGTAGGGTGGATTGTAGACGTGGACCATCACGCCACACCTTCGAGGCTGCATGTTTTGGGCTTTTGTTGGTAAACCATGGCTTCTGCCTGTCTTGGAGATTCAGTGTATATCCCAAGCATGCCAGGGCCACCATCTTGTAACAGAGACAAGCACAACTGTGGAGAGCTGACTGACCCCAGGTGGCGGGGGGGGGGGGGGGGGAGCCACATTCAGGAACTTGCAGGCGTCTCTGTGGAGGCTGCGACCTCAGGGCTGCCCAAACTTTCTCACTTTTGCTGCCCACCATGTGCATACTTTAAAAAGAATGCAAATTGACCTTGCTATGCCATACTATTCCTATATTTGTTTTAAAATAAAGTTTAATTTTCAATCGTACATGAAGTAAGAGGTATCAAGTTTTCTCAACTGAGAAAGCCCGCAGCTCTACTGGATCTGAACATTAGCTGCCTCACCCTGGGGACTTAAGGTGCGTGTTGTTTTTAAATTTCCTTTCTTGGATAAGCTGGAGACTTTTGTAGGTAAATGGATGCAATTTGAGAATATATTCAGTGAAATAAATAAGACACGCATGTAACATCATATTGTTTCACTAATGTGAGAAATTGAAAGAAATAACGTATAGCTAAGATAGTTATACTACTGATTTCTGAGTTCACTGAAGAGAAAGCTTTGTGCTGGTATTATTCGGATAACAGAGTACCGATGTCTTGTGCTCTTGGGTGAATGATTTGGGGATGACAATGCACACTATATGTACCATTGTTGCCTCCTGAAAAAAAAAATTCTTTTCTCATCAGAACCTCTGAATAATAATTATTAATATCTAGCAAATATTATATTGTGAATATATGAATAGTTCATTTGATCCTTTTAGCAAATCCCTAAGTCAGGCACTGTTATTTTTATGATTTTAGAGATAAGGATGCTCGGAGAAGTTAGGTAACTTGTCTGATGTTACACACTGGGTGTTGGCAGAGTTGGATTCCACCAGCTGGTTTTATCCTGGGGAGGCTAGAGTGACATGCCACAGAATCCTGCTCCACCCCTCTTGGTTGCCCTGCAGCTGCTGGGTGGTGCAAATGCTAAAAATCTTGCCTAAAAGAGGGACAACTTCAAACAGTGGTGTATGTCTGTAGTTGCCTTGGAGACAGGACCGGAGGGTGAAGGGAAGAGGGAATCACAAAAGTCAGAGCTTGCACTCTTGCCTTCTCAGATGCAGCTGCAGGAGGACCAGAGAGGGGCAGATTTGCTGCAGATCACACAGCAAATCAGCAGGGCAGCCAGGAACAGTCCTGGGCTCTGAGTCTAGGTGGTGTGGATGATATCACATTTTTGCCTATTGATTCCTGCATCTTTGCCATTTATCCTTCATGATCTCAGTGCAGTCTCCTCTCCACACTGACGTCTGTCTTTTGAAGGCCAATTTTAACGCCGCCCTCCCAGAGAACAGTGTAAGCACCTTCAGGGTGAAGACCATGCCGCTGTCTCCAAATGCTGTCACTCACAATGCCGGGCACACAGAAGTTGTCCAGTCAATATCTTTGGTCCAGAGTGAAGCTATTGTCCCAGAAATGAAGAAGACCAAACCTGGCCACTGCCCTAGGCCTGGAGTTTCTAGGATGTATTCATTATTCTCCTTAATGTTTTTGTCCTAAAATAACCCTGTGCTACTGGAATGCTGAGACAAATGAATTTAAGACAAAACAAAACAAAAAATTCTGTCCCCTTATTGTGATGCCTACAGCATCAAAATAGCTACAGCAACCAGGAATTTCCCTGGCCTCTCACATCTCATTGTGCAAGTCGAGGAGCAGAAGGTGGAAGATAGATTTCTGGGGAGAATGACCTCAGCATTTATTAGGTGTCAGCCAAGTGCTCAAGGGGCTCAATTCAGATTCCTCTTTGGGGAGGCACTGAAAATCCCTGATAAACTAAATTCTCCAAATCTTTTAGGCCTTGGGGGAGAGATGAAGGGTGAGAAGAAGGAAGTGATCTGAGGTCCAAGTTACACATTTCCCATTAAGGGGCTGTCTGTGCTGAGACAACTAGCTCTGCCTCCAAGACTGAGACCCAGGACCTGGGACATGTGGGCATCCCATTAAAAAAGCTGAGCTGGGCTAGGGATGGAGCTCAGCACTGCAGCGCCCGCCCAGCAAGTCTGAGGCCCCAAGCAAGAAAGAGAAGAATAAAGAAAAGAAAAAAGAAAAGAAAAGAAAAGAAAAGACTGAAGTGGGATTTAAGAAGACTCAATGACCAGATGTGCAACTTGGGGAGTGTGAGGGGAGTTGGATAGGATATCTTGAAAGATGTGCGCAAGAGAGTGCGCATGGACTGTGTATATATGGGGACACATGGACATCTGTGTCAAAGATATGGGGACAAGAAGGGAATCATGAGAGCTGAGCTGTTCCGTGCATTTTCAACAGCATCTTTTAGTCTTTCCTTAACAGCAGTCCTACAATCCATTAACAGAATGTGCTGCGGTTGTCCCATCATGCGGGTCACTACAGGATGGCCTCTCTCCAGTCTTGGAGGTATCCGACACACTGGGGGCTTCCCACCCACCTCAGGGCAGCCCAGCCTCCAGTGAAAGAAAAAGGTTCCTGCCTGGGGCATGGAGCACAGCTGGGGTCCTGGTTCTGTGCATCCTACTGCAGGGTCCAAGTACTGTGGGAAAAGACCAACCTGGGGCCAGGCTGGCCTTGGTCTCCCTGTGGGGTCTGGAGCTCAGTTTTCCCATCCTTAAAGGGGAAATTGTATTCCATCTTCCTGGAGCCCCTTTCTGAGTCAGATGCCTCACCAAGAGGTAATTCTGACCTAGAAGAGTCATCGGCAAGGTGAAGCCTGGGAGTCAAAGGGAAATAGAAGATGGGGAAAGTCCTGGCTAGCTGTTCACAGTTACATAGTGGTTTGATCTAACAAACTTTGCCTAATGAGAGAAAGGTGTGTATCTTTCTAGTACAACATTTTTAAGCCTCAGTTTCCACCTATGAGAAATGGGAGTGGTACCATCTCATACCAGGACAAACCAATCACATTGTCCAGGTGAAATGGCCAGGCACGGAAAATGTGCTCCACGAGGCATTCTCGGACCCGAAGGGGTTTGATTGGGAAGATTCTAAAATGTATTGGGTCCCTGGGTGTAAGATCTGGAGCCGAGGGCGCACATCCAACCCTGCAGCCGCTGCGCCTCCTGCGCCCCGGGCCGCCGAGGGTTAAACAGAAAGCCCCACGCCCCCTTTGGCGGCGCAGAGCCCACCTCGCCGAATTTGAAAAGGCGGCCCCGAAGAGGCGTGGGCGCACCCCAGAAGCTTCCAGCTCCGACCTCGGCTCTGCGCGCTCGCTGCCCGGCTCGCTCTCTCCCTCCGGCCGGGGCCGCGGGTTCGGTCCCGCCGCCGGTGCGCTCCGGATCCTTCTCGCTCCCGCCCGGGAGCCGGGTCCTCGCACAAGATGAGGCTGGCTCTTCTCCTGCCTTGGGCGTGCTGCTGCCTCTGCGGGTCGGCGCTGGCCACCGGCTTCCTCTACCCCTTCTCGGCCGCGGCCCTCCCGCAGCACGGCTATCCCGAGCCCGGCGCCGGCTCCCCGGGCAGCGGCTACGCGGGCCGCCGGTGAGTGGTGGGGGACTCGGAGGCCGGGGTCGGGGCTGGGGCCGCGCGGCCGGGGCTCTGGGGTCTCTGGCTGCGGGCTCGGGTGGAGGTGGCTCCGACCTGCAGCTGGGGCGCGCGAGGGGCCGCCCCGAGGGGGCGCGCGCGGCTCGCTGGGCTCAGTGCTCAGCTCCCCACGACCCCCGACTCACTTAGCCCCACAGTGCTCACCTGCAAGCCCGACGCTTTGTGTCGCGAGCTGTTCCCGGGTGCCCAAGACCCGGATTTCACGTCGGGATCCTCTGCCGCTCCGGCCGGCGGTATCGGGGACACCACTCGATCCAGTGTTTGGGACCCCGAGGAACCTGGCCACGCGAACACGGGACCGTGTGCGGTCCTCTGGCTTCGCGGTGGGTTCGGGGAAGGAGCTGGGATCAGCCAGCTCTAGGCGCGGGGACCCGCCCGCCACCCCCTCCGAAGCCGGCAGGTGGCGCCCTGGCCGCCCTGGGACGATCAGGGCTGAGTCTCTGGAGCCGCTTTTCAACTCCCACTGCGGTAGCAATCGAGAAAACGGTGCTTGTTCTTGGCTTTTCATTTAATAACTGCAACTCGCAACCCTGTACTGGCCCTCTAGAACATCCAATCTGCAATGGTACATTCTTCTTTTGATCCTTAAACCGCCCTGGGGTCAAGGTTTTAAAATATTATCTTTCCCTTAACGGGGAAAACTGAGGGCCAGAGAAATTTCCCGAAGTTTAGGGACACCTCGAGGCTGATCCTATGTTCTGCAAATCTGGTGCATTCTGCCTCCTTTCTCTGCTTATGCAAGAACCAAGACCCCTTTCTCTTTACCCCGTTGGTATTTTCCCAAACCCAAGGCCCACTACAATGGAGTCAGGCAAGGCCTGTACTGAGGGACAGGAATGTTTTGTGCTGGGAGCGCCAGACACTTCATGGCTGGAGAAGGCAGCGTCCCGAAAACAGCATCACAGAGCCCTGGAAAAGTTTGCACGCAATTCAACTTCCCCCTTTTGGTTTGGAAATACTTCCTGGACACTTCGCTTATTCAGCTAGTACCTACAAAGGCTGCCGCACCTTCCTTCTGGCCCCTGCACTTTCCTTCTGAGAGCAACCCTAAGCTCCCCAAGTGCAGAATAGTACAGATAGCAGGATCCCAGTTATGAAAACTAAGCAAAATGGACCTGCATGAGTAGATTAATGCTTAGAAAAAGTTTTTAGGACTCCATTTTCGGTAGTTAGCTACGTGGAGAGGTCTGAGGACTAGTGTTACCTCCATCTGTGGGTTTGTATTCAAGCATTCCATCAACTTCAGATTAAGAATGTTTGGGAAAAATTTGCATCTGTACTGAGCGTGTACAAACTTGTTATTGTTCTAACAACAATCTCCATAGACTTCGCGTTGCATTTGGTGCCCTAAGCCATCTAGAGGTGATTGGAAGTCCATAGGAGGACTGTGTAGGTTCTCTGCAAAGACTCTGCCATTTCATACCGAGAACTTGAGCACCATAGGTTGGGGGAAGACTGTGGGGTCAGTTCCTTGTGGATCCCGAGGGACGACTGTAGCAGCATTCCCTTCTGTCTTGAGTCTTGTCTGTGCGTTTTACAAGTGCATGTATATTGGCACATTACCTTTGTAATTGATAAGTGTGAGTGGGAGGAGATGGACTAAGAGGAGCTAGAGATGAAGGAAATAAATGGGAACCTTGGTCTATGCTCCAGTAGGCGGCAGCTTGGAATTTATACAAAACGTAGAAGGGATAGAGCTGAGTGTGCTGGTGCATGCCTGTTATCCCAGCTCTCTGGGAGGCTGAGGCAGGAGAATGACAATTTGAGCCCAGCCTGGGAAATTTAGCAAGACCTTGTCTCAAAATTTAAAAAAAGGGCTGGGGATGTAGCCCAGTGCAAAGTCCCAGTACAAGAGTTAATCCCCAGTACAAGAAAGGGGTGGGGAGAGAGTAAAGGCCCTTGATTGTTTAGAGGGCCATTTCCTGTAGATCTTAAAACATGCCATGGGGCCCCTGGTGGTTTTCACCAGACAGAGTTGTTCAGATGCAAAGCAGAAGCTGAGGGGAAACCAGCAGTAGCTGCGAAGGCTGCCCGGAGGACTGAGCCCCCACCCCAACTGTCCTACTCTTCCTAACAAGCCCAACCCATTTGTGAAGCTCCCTCAAGTATGCAAATTCCTCCCTCCTGCGGATGTTTATTGGGGGCCTTGTGCATTATTTCCCCCCTCACCCCCAACTCCAACCCTAAAGGGCCCGAGCAAGAATGAGAACCAGAAGTTTTAATGTGGAAAATGATGAACTTTTATATTAATTCTTGAAATAGGCCTGTTCCTCTAAGAGAAAACACAACTGCAATGGGACATGGGGTCCAGGCAGTGGGCTCATGGGGCAGGGTGAAAAGACAAGGTTACTTTTGCCTTTTCTCTGAGGACAATGTTTATTCCATAAGCCAGTTGCTCCTGTCTGGGGCTATATGCTCAGAGGTAAATGTTCACAGATACCACCAAGGTAACAAATTGCTCAGTGAGTCCGTTCCATTTTTCAATGTAGATGCCTTTGTCTGTTCCCTGTTACTATAACAAAATACCTGGAGCTGGAAATTTTATAAAGAAAAGAGGTTTATTTTGGCTTACGAATTTGGAGGTGGGAAGTGAGTTTGGGCAGAGAAGCCAAAATGCGAGGGGAAACCTTGCTTTATTACGACCCTGTCTCAGGGTAACTAACCATATCCCTCAAGATATAACCTTGAAAGACAGACATTGATCCTTTCCTGAGCATGCTGGCCCCATAACCTGATCGCTTTTTAGAGCTCCCACCACCTTTCAATGCTGGTACCTTGGAGGCTGAGTCTCTGACATGTGACAAATCATATTCACACCAAAGCATTGGACAAATATACCTTCTCAGTGACCCCGAAAATCAGGCTGAAATGAGGGACATTTTGATGCCTTGGGGTTCTGCTCTGGAAAAGGGCGACAGATGGGAAGACAGTCCAGCCACTCCTACCCTGGCTTCTTTCCATACCCTGAAGTCATCACCCACAGATTTATGGACCCCTTAACCTGCATACCCAGTGCAGTCTCTGCCTACCATGAAATGCCACCCTTAGCTAGGAATAGACACCTTGTGCTTGGAAGATGGCTTGTGACAAGTGGCCCTGAAAATGAACTCTGAGTCAGGGAATCCGAGCCCAAGGGTGAGGTCTGGAAGGAGGTAGGGGTTTAGGTGGGAACATTTCCTAGGCCTCAAGGATTGGCCAAGACCCTGAAGAAGGATCACAGTTGGAGGAGGGCAGAGCAGGTCCTCCAAAGTGGCCCAGGGCCGAGGACCCAATGTCGGGTCCCAAAGGGCCTCCATGGGAGGATGTAGGGGGCCTGTTTTCTGGGTTTGCCCCACATTCACTATGCAGACTTGCCTTAACCATCTGCATGATTTGGGGACTGTGGAGACCAAGACTCCAAGATTGAGGGGTGAAAAGCAGACAGGGATGCCCGGATGCTGAGTCTGTAAAATGTGGATCTGACCCCGTAACTTTCTGTGTGCCTTGCCGCCAGCCGGAAGGACTGAGCTGCCTAGCCGTGTGCCTGGCCCTTCTCCAGCCGGGACAGTCCCCTCTGACCTGCTTTACCCCTCGCTGCCCCTTGCCTCCAGTGCTGCCTCCCCCCTTCTCCTGTGGGGTCCGGGGCACACGCTGCCCTCCCGCCAGCTCACATGGTCAAGGACGCCTTGACGTCAGACAGGCTCACTTCGGGATCCGGAGGCACAGACCACAGGGTGGCTTTTCAGAAGTGACGATCCAGGCGCGGGGCAGAGGAGCCCTCAGGCTACTCTTGGCATGTGTTTCTGCCCGAGTAGGAGCACAGTTACATCCCGCCCAAGTGTGCAGGATTTGGATCCATCTGCAGGCCATCCTGGGCTGCGGTGGAATTCTGAACCGCACTGTGTTTTGCTTTCCCTTTGGAAACTCTGGCGAGTTAGTTTGGGGAAGGTCTGATCTCTGCTCTGATGACTCCACTGAGCCCCAGCTGTTTCCTGCCCCCCTCTTCACTCTCCTCCCTTTCACAGGGAGGAGAGTGGAGGCTGTGTTAGGTGTCCTGCAGCCTTCTGGTCTCCCTGTGGAGAGCTTCCACCCTGTCACTGGGCACATCTCACCTCTCCCTCTTCACCTCCTCTGTTACCTCCTGCTCTGATTGGGGCCTGGGTTGGAGCTTGGGGAAAGTAGAGTACCTCATGACATAGTGGTGGTCCTGGACCCACACTGGCAGTGCCAGAGCACGTTCAGAGGGCACCTCGGCCCCAGGAGACCCCCCCTTCCCCATCAACAGTATCTGGTGCAGGTGCAGTGCCCTTGGGGTGGCCTTCCACTGCAGGAAGGTGCCTTTGGGAAGGGGGTGCCTGGCTGACCTCCCTACTGTGGGCTGGGCACGGAGCACCAGGACCCTGGCAGCTGGTGTGTTGTGTGTGCAGGGGGAGGGACACCTGAGGGGGGGGGAGAGAGAGAAAGAGAGAGAGAGAAGCTTTGTATTTTCCTGCTTTCAGAGTGAAAGGCCTCATGTTTTCCTTTTGCACATGCCCCACAGGGTATTTAGCCAGGGGTTTGCTTTAGGTCTGTCCTTGCAGCCTGGGGGGCATCTACACCAGTCTGGAACTCTTTTCTTTTCTTCTTCTTCTTCTTTTTGTAGTTACTGGAGATTGAACCCAGAGCATTCACACTGAGCTGCATCCCCAGCCAGCTATCTGTCTGTCTATCTATCATCTATCTATTGATATATACATATATATATCTATTGGTCTTTTTGAGACAGGATCGCTGTGCAGTTCAGGCTGGCCTTGAACTCACTTTGTAGCCCAGGCTGATCTTGAACTTGCAATGATCCTCCTGCCTCAGCTTCCCGAGTGCTGGGATTACAGGCGTGAGCCACCATGCTAGGCTTACTGATTTATATTTTGAGACAGAGTTTCACTAAGTTACTAAGTTGCTCAGGCCAGGCTCTAATT